TACTAAACATATTAGTTTTTAATTTTGGTAATAATTTACACATATCATTTTGTTATATCTGGACTCAAGGATAAAATGATTAAAATTTGGTGCTCACAGATCAACATCACTCTGACCCCACAAATCATGTTTTTGGCCATAAAAGAGATTTTATTCATTAATTATAACAACATTTTCAGATTCACATTCAGTGTAGAATCTTTATCCTACTTAAGCTCTATCTGGAAAAAAAATCATAAATCTGGAAGAAATTAAAGCAAAATGTGATATTCTCTAACAAACAATTCTTTAAATGTCTGCAAGGGAGAAGTTTAATTGCTGTAGTCCAAAGTCAGAATGTGACTGAACCCTTGCTGTGTACTCTACAAACCACCATTTCTAACTAACTGTATGGTAAAGGACAACCTACTTTTTTCAACAACATGTCAGCTTGTAGTTCTTCTGAGTCTTGTGTAATCTGACCGAGTACCTGGGGGATGGACGGTGAAGAAGATACTGCTAATGCTGTTAGGTCAGGCCAGGCTCTGTATAGACGTACTAGTATATTAGGTGGGCCAGTGTGTGCTTTCATCATTCTACCCATGTTTTGGTTGCTAATGTAATACCGATTGCATTTGTTTTGCAACATTTTTTTCACTGATCTTCTTTGGTCAAGTCTATGTAGAAGGCTTTGATCACTGACCATGTTAGAAACCCAGATTTGCAGACTTGCGAGTATCCTAAAAAATGCTCGGGAAATATATTGGGTTGTTGTTATTATTATGGGTAGTTGTAGTGCAAATGAGCACCATAGCAGTAAATACACTGAACAGTATATTGTTACAATCATTGAAATGTGTGTGTCTGTTTCCGCAGCGTTTGATGAGCTAGTAGAAGCCTATGTAGAGCAGGTCCGAGGCTTATTGGATGGAGGAGCAGACATAATTCTGGTGGAAACCATCTTTGACACTGCCAACGCTAAGGTAGCCCTCACATTGTTTAAATATTGATAAATAATTCTCTCAAATATGTTGAAAGTTCATTATGATTGTTAAGTGATGCTATTCAGTAACGTGCTACACATTTACTGATGAACTGCATTGCCAGTCAGTTACAGGGTCGATCATCTGAAGCAGGGGTTCTCAACTGGTCTCATCCTGGGACCCACATTTTCCCGTGGTCATTAAGTCGCGACCCAGTTTTTTTTTTAGAATTCAATCTTCAATATATTTTCCTGTGCAACATGCATTTCAGAGCATATAACCGTGCATAGTAGCTGGACCATGACAACTGCATGTACAAAACGGCACAAAATAAATAAGGGCACAAAACAACATGTTTTCACTCCATTTTGAGCAAATTAATAAGAAACTAAGGAAGACCATGACAACTGCATGTACAAAAGTGAATAAAATAAATATCAAAACTACTCAAAAATAAAGTTTTGACCTAATCAGGTCATTCATTGAAGTTTATGAGACAGTTGGGTACGTGCTCTACTCTTGATTAGAGTTTCAGAGTCTGGGGTGACAGTAGACAGAGCTGCTCTCAGATCATGCTCAGTGTCCAACCTGTTTCTCTGTTTTGACTTGAGCTGGACCAAGGTAGAGAAGCCACTGTCACACAAACGGGTTGAGCTGAATCGTAAGATTGTTTAACTGCAAGAGTGGCGAGGGATGGATACTCAGCCATCACATCGCTGCACCAGAAGAGGGAAAGGCTTACCTCCCCAAATCTCTTTCTCAGCGTCTGATCACATGACAGCTCCACCAGCTGATGCTCTCGTGCAGCCACATTTCGTTGTCAAACAGTTCTGCTTTCAGGAAGTTAGTCTCAGAGAGGAATGTGGCGATTTCTGATTTAAGTTCATAAAAGCGTGACAAGACCTCGCCCCTCGACAGCCAGCGGACTTCTGGGTGGCTATTCAGGTTCAGCCCTAGTATGAAAATCCACATTTTCAATAGTCTGGGTCATATTTGCGCTTTGCCATTTTGCCATCTTGCATCCCAACATCAACACAAACTTAAAATGAACGTCAAACAAACTATGGTTACCATGCCTGTCAAAATAAAAATTTTTTCAAAACAAAAAATAAGTCCAACCTGAGACGCACATTATATATTTTTTAATTTTGACCAGCTGTCCCACCCAGAACAGGTCCGCGACCCACTTTTGGGTCGCGACCCACCAGTTGAGAACCCCTGATCTGAAGCTATGCCACAAATAAACTATATAGTATGTTTTTTGTACCTTAGTCCAAGAAAAATGTGTATAGTATGATCGCTTGTGCTCAGTTTTATGTTCATGTTTGATGTCACTACCTCATCGTTCTGTTTACAGGCTGCCTTGTTTGCCATCGACCTGCTGTTTGAAAAGAGCTACGAGAGAAAGCCTATATTTGTAAGTCTATCATGCTGTATTCATTTCATTTCTCTGCTGCAGTGTCTGTTCATACTTTGTGTATTCAGATGGGGTTGGAGTGTTATTGTTTGTACTAGAGCATAAAAGACTTACATGTTTACCTACCAATGTTTTTTTTGTTTTGTATTGTTTTTGTTTTTTTAATCTGTGGATCATTGGTAAACTGCTGAAATGGGTGCCTTCAGCTCGACAAATTTATTTTGTAATTTTTAAAAAAAATTGTATTTGTGTAATTAGCCACATGCATTTTTGAATTTATCAACATGGGATTTAGCAAACATTGCTTTATTCATCTCCTGGAAACTTTCCTTATAATTTCTTAAAGGTTAGCTTGTTTTAAGCCGGAAATTAAGAGCATATTTCAACGACAGATTTATGCAGATTCGTACTAGTATAACTGAAATGGACAAAAATAATACTTTTGTATATGTATGTATGTGATCATTATATGTGAGTTTTTGTAGAGAAACAAAGAAACAAGATGATAGGGTAGTGAAGAAATAAACTGATGTTAACATTCTTTTCTGAAAAGAATAAAACCTTCAGAATAGTTTTGAGTAAAACTTAATTGTGTAGTGCAAAGTAATCATTGCATGGGTTTGCTTTGATGTTGTACAGCCCACTGCACATAAACATTCGTATTCCCCTACTCGCTGCGCTTTATTGTCAGCACAAGCACTTTACCTTGTTATGACTTCAATAAAATTTTCTATTTTTCTAAAAACAAATCAAACCTATGTAGGTTCTTACAAATACAGGGTCTGTGAAATAGGACATCTTGGCATGAATAGATGATGTTTATCTGACGTTTATATCTCTGCTGCTGTCTTGTTGCATTCATCCCAAAGATCTCGGGGACGATCGTTGACAGGAGTGGCCGAACTCTGTCGGGTCAGACAGGAGAGGCTTTTGTAGTGAGTGTGTCCCATGCTAAACCCCTGTGGTGAGTTGCTGTACATCACACCAAACACCAGTCAGAGAACAAAAATGCAGTGATCCAACACAATTGTCCTTATCGTGATAGAGCTCTTTATCCCTCTCTGTGTTGCAGTATTGGTCTGAATTGTGCGTTGGGGGCGACGGAGATGAGGCCGTTCATTGAGGCCATAGGAAAAAGCACCACATCTTTCATTATCTGTTATCCCAATGCAGGTAACCCACCCTCAGTCTGAACAGCTACAGCCTAAAGCCCAAACCTACAATACACACTCTGAAAGTATATATATATTGATTTTGGTGATACACCACAAATGTACATGTAACATTTGGCCACCTTTACAGACATAAATCAGGACCAGAATATCAGAAGCAGCTTTCAATATAATGTCATCCATTTGTAGGATTGTTTTGCAGGTTATTTTAGGCCAGTGTGGTGAAGAGCTTCTTTAGCTTTAAACTGACCCTGCTGGTCTGTCTCAGCAGCACACGGTGACCTGTAGCCAAATTCCTGTTGCATCATATGTCAGACCATCCAGGTCCATGCCATTATGTCATCGTCTGTGTGTTATCTTTTTCTGTTAGGTCTTCCCAACACATTCGGAGGGTATGATGAAACGCCACATGTAACAGCCTCCAATTTAAAGGTTCCATTCTATTCTATTCTTCTCTTTTCTTTTTATGTTGGAATGCTATCTCAATGCCAAGATGTGTATTATCACTGTGATTATGTTTAGAAACATGTGATTTAGTTTGAATGCATATGTTACCATTCCCTGCATAAAAGTGGAGGAACTGACTCTTTGACTTGGTTTCTGCAAAATCCTGTCAGCAAAGCAGCTATCTGGCATGTTTTATCTTCCTTTTATTTTCAGGCAGGCATGGGTACATTGTGTTGTGTTAGTTGACTCCCCTAGTCTTTGGGAGTACATTTGGTGGCAAGGGAGACTTGTTTCTTTTGCTAATCTTCTCCCACCAGGAATTCCCACTACAGTTCCACCATAGGACACGTCCTAGTCAGTGACACCTGCAGGGGGTGTTGAGATATTCATTAGAATTTTCACTTACCTGGATGGTCTTTTGAGACCAAACAAAACAAAAAACAAAAAAAAACAACATGGTTATGCAATCTTTTGTCTTGTATCTGCAGGAGTTTGCTATGAGTGGACTGGTGAATCTTGTGGGAGGTTGTTGTGGGACCACTCCATCACACATCAGGTTGCTATTATGTTTCTGATTAATAAAAGTTTGTCTGACGTGTCACACAATTTTTAAAAATATTTCCGTCTTTGTCCCGTCAGAGCCATATCTGAAGCAGTCAAACACTGCCAGCCAAGAGCTCCTGCTGCTGACGTTTATCAAAACTGCTTGCTGCTCTCAGGTATTAAAACCTCCTGCTACTACGTGTTAAAATATAAAACTTGGAATAAATGAAGTTGCTAAGACTTTCATGTTTAGTACGGGGCTGCAAGGTGGCTCGGTGGTTAGCATTGTTGCCTCGCAGCTAGAAGGTCGCCGGTTCACGTCCCAGTGAGGACACCCGGGATCTTTCTGCGTGGAGTTTGCATGTTCTCCCCGTGCAGCTTGGGTTCTCTCCGGGTTCTCCAGCTTCCTCCCAATGTCCAAAAACATGTTGAGGTTAATTGATGATTCGAAATTGTCCGTAGGAGTGAATGTGAGTGTGCTTGGTTGTCTGTCTCTAAGCTTGTTGTTTGTTCTAGTTGACTCTCAGCTGATGCTTACTACTATTCCTATTTACTCTTCCTCAGCAGAGAGCCTGCACAGTGAAACAAAAGGAAAATAGTAATCAACCTGTAAATATAGATATTAAGTCAAAAAGTGTCAATCAATTTCCATCTGATGATAAAGACCATGCCATGATGGGATGCCTTGAGTACCAAAGTGCAACTGAAGACACCTAGGGCTGTGATAATATTTATTATAATTATTTTGTCATGTAATACCCTCCCAATATTTTTTCCACCAGTGTTTCTTTAATAACTTGGCTTGTTTCTTTTTGACATCTTAGCCCTGATACCCTTGATACCCAGTCATTATTTAATACTGTTTTTGATTTGAGAATTTCTGGTACACTGTTAAAACGCTAAAGCAGACTTGAAGCAAAATTCTAAATATGTAAACCAATTAAATTGTACAGCATACATCAGAAATGAGTGCACCCCTATGCAATGTCACTTAAATGTCATGTGGTTCAAAGCTGTATCACCTCAATAATTATATTTTGTCCAACCTGAAGAGTCGTTCCTCCTATAACCACAATTTTGAACTATTTTGAAAAGACAGGCTCCAAGTAGAAACTCCATCCTATTACCTTGTGACCACACAACTGTTAAGTGGAGAAACCCAACAAATCTAAAGTTTCCTTTGGATTCCCTTTGAGCAAGCACTTGGCGAAAGTGGCAAGGAATAAACAGAAACTACAAGTACACCTGCAGTCTGGGAGTGAAGTGCTCTGTTGAGATAATCTGGTGCAAGAAGGTCATTAAAAGCTCCATATATTAAAAGCAGGGTTTTAAATTTTATCCTGAATTTGACAAGGAGCCGAGGAAGAGAAACCAATATGATACATTTGTTTGGCTCAGATGGGCTCCAGCATGATTAGTGTGTGATGATAGGAGACTACGGAGTGCAAAAGGAGGGAGGATGATGGTACTATGAAGGTCTGTGGACATACCAAAATACTGGCTGACTAGATGATTCCCAGTCTGCACAAGCTTGGCACAAGAGGATTAAGCCAGCATGATAATAATCTAAAGCACAGTGCCACAATCACACAAGAGTTTCTGGAAAAAAAAAAAAAGGTAAGAACTATGACCTTGCAAAGCATGCTGCATGACCTGAATCCAATTGAACACCTTTGGGGTGTTTCAAGGAGAAAAGGTAGAGCTAAGAACAACACAGAAAAATAGTCTCTAAAGAATTGTAGAACATCTCTCCAGAAATTTGTGAAACACTGGTATCCTTCATGCTGAGGGGGTTGAACCTGCCCTCAAAATAGGAATAAACCTCATGTTTCAATGTAGACTGTTGCAGTTACTGTAAGGTAATACAATTTTGAATCATTTGACAGTTAGGTGATGTTGCACAGAGGCTGACTTACTTCTGATTAGCGTACATCCAGCCAATGTGGTTTATTAATGATAAAAGGGTGGGTCTAACTCAGGGGTGTCCAATCCTGATCCTCGAGGGCCACAGTCCTGCATGTTTTAGATGTTTCCCTCTTCCAAATGATCAGGATTGTTGTCAGGCTTCTGCAGAGCTTGATGATGAGCTGATCATTTGAATCAGATTTTTTGGAAGAGGGAAACATCTTAAACATGCAGGACTGTGGCCCTCGAAGACCAGGATTTGACACCCCTGGTCTAACCCCATTACATTGCTACAAGTCAACTAAAAACAAGATGTCTGTGAGATAAAATGTCCTACTCGTGTCTAGGTTTGGAGCCGTTCAGGGTTGGCCCCTACACCAACTTTGTCAACATTGGCGAGCGCTGCAATGTGGCTGGATCACGCAAATTTGCCAAGCTGATCATGGCTGGAAACTACGAGGTGGTGATTATTATCATCAAGAACAATTGATATTCTGTAATATCAATAATATTACTCCTATTAATATTATCCACTTTAAGGAAGTGCATATCACAAGCAAAGGTCAAATCTTTGTTGATTTGGTACATGCTTCTCTGTTTGTTGTCCAGGAGGCTCTGAGCATTGCTAAGGCCCAGGTGGAGATGGGAGCCCAAGTCCTGGATATAAACATGGATGAAGGGATGCTGGAGGGGCCAACAGCCATGGCCCGATTTTGTAACTTCATTGCATCTGAGCCAGATGTCGCACGGGTAGGACATTCAAAAGTAGTAAAATGAACACCTGAACAATACGATCTTTTGGGCATTCCTGTATACTACTGTGTACTGAAATTATGTTAATTCTCAAAATAGGTATTACAGAAATTAAGCATACTTAGGTTCTTAAATTACTTAGTTAAACACGTGTATATATCAACATGTACAATGATACAACCTTTTTCAGCCATGTCATATCGTATCATAGCTACTCATCAAGTAAAATATCTGGGTTATCTGCAGGTTCAAAAAAGTCCTAAAATTTAAATAAAAAATTTAAAATAGTAATTAGATAAAAGTATTTAATTCCGTTTTCTAAAAAATGCTTCAGACTCATTAGCTTTGTGTGACTTTATGTACATTTTGGGTCTTTTTGTGATTGTTTGCCAACTCATTTTTTGTCTTTGTTGCCTTTTTGGGTCCATTTGTGTTCATTTTGGGTCTTTGTGGCTGTTTTGTGTCATTTTGCATCTCTTTAAGATATTTTTTTTCTCTTTTTAGTAGCTTTTTTAAAGCTCTTCAAAAGTTTTGCAGTTGCTGGGCTGCTAATATGCAAAACTAAGATGGCAAACATTTTACTTTGCAAAAATCTGCATGTTGGAACTGTCACTGAGAGCATTATGACGTTACTATTGAGCTCAAACAGTGGCTTCACAGAGCCGCATGCAATCTCATCGATGCCTACGACTTTCAAAATCTGTCGTTTTTAATAAATTATTTTGTTCTCATTTTTAACTTTCAGGTTTTGACATTACCGCTACCATCACTCTCTGCTTATTTTTTATTTTCTGTAATGTCTTCTCCTTTAATTCTTTTTTTACGATATGACCAACCATAACAACCAATCCAGAATGATTATGCTCAGTAACTATTCAGACAGTATCCTGCCTCAGCTGTCCTTTCCCCTCCCCAGGTTCCTCTGTGTATTGACTCCTCTAATTTCTCAGTGATTGAGGCTGGACTGAAATGCTGTCAGGGGAAGTGTATAGTCAACAGCATCAGTCTGAAGGAGGGAGAGCAGGAGTTCCTGCTCAGAGCTGCCACTGTGAAGCGCTACGGTGCTGCTGTGGTGGTCATGGCCTTCGATGAGGTGGGACAGGTGAGAGGAACAAAATGCACACACACATTCACACACATGAACACACAAACATACACTCTGAGTGTACTGTCCTCTCAAGGCCACAGATGCAGACCGTAAGGTGGAGATCTGCACTCGAGCCTACAACCTGCTGGTCAGCAAAGTGGGATTCGACCCCAATGACATCATCTTTGACCCAAACATCCTCACCATCGGTACGGGCATGGAGGAACACAATGACTACGCTGTCAACTTCATCAGGGCCACCAAGCTTATCAAGGTAATGGCAGCTGCTCAGAATATATGTCAACACAAATTCAACCAATCTCTGCAATAACTGCAAACAGGCCAGCTGACAGCCTTCCCTGGGCCCGGGACAAGATGATATTAGACTTCTGCTGAGTGGACATTTTGGTGCTGAAGTGCAAAATTGGAACTTCCAATAAAAGGACATCAAATTTTGATCAGAGGCCAAACCATTTTATGTTGGAGGTGGTGGTGGAGGGCAATTCCAAAGATATTAAGGACAGTTCAGACGAAAACAAATTAAAACTTCTAACTCAAATATTGCACTGTTTCTTTCCATTAATAGCCCTTCTTTGGGGAAAAAAAATCCATAATTCAGTAAAAAACTTCAGTAAATCATCATTTAAAAGCTGCATTTTGTTGTTTTGTGAGTTCTCTCTGTCAGACATTAAATGCATATCAATGTTAGTTTGGTGATCTGGAACATTTAAGTGGGAGAGATATGCAAAAATAGAAGACAGCAGGGCAAGGGCAAGTACTTTTTCACAGCACTGTACATTTTCTAGCCAGAATTTTTTTGAAGGTTCTTTAATACTACCTCAGATATTTTAGGCCAAAAATGATTCCAATCAGACTGTATCATATGTGTGATGTTTGTGTCTGTTTGAAGGAAACTTTGCCAGGAGCCAAGGTGAGTGGAGGCCTTTCCAACCTGTCCTTCTCTTTCCGAGGAATGGAGGCCATCAGAGAAGCTATGCATGGGGCATTTCTCTACCACGCTATCAAGGTAAACATGGATGCTCGCAGTTCCATCTGCACACTGCCCACAAAAAGTTGGAAACAATCCCTTACCGATGTATCCAGTGTGTGTGTGTACACTGGGTCCATGAGACACTCCTCTCACACCCAACTCTTCCCCTCACTCCTCAGCGTTTTTTTAGTTTGTTACTACCAGACTGGCTTGTATGTCTGAAGTGGGAAATTCACTTCACATTTGACCTATTGATTTTTAATGCTCTGTTTAATTTGTTACGGCTCTTAACACGGAAATATCAAAAACTAGTTTTTCCTGGTCTGAGTCATCACCATAAATGTTGAAAGTAGTGTAAAATATGATCATGGCTCCTATGAAGGCTACAACGTTAGCTGGCAGCCAGGACCAGCAGCTGTGCTATGATGATGGAAGACCTTTGAGGTGCACAATATGTTGACGTATAAGAAGTAACTCTGAACTTATTTAACACTGCACTCAGTCAGACAGACTGAAAACACTTCATCCAGAAGATCTGTACCACTTTGTTTGGAAGTTAGAAAACTGTGTGCACTATGTACAGAGAAGTACAGCAGCTCATAGCTGATCACTGCAGACAGTTCAGTGTTATTGCTAATAGTAAGAATGGACAAAGACTAGGAAAATATTACTGCAGCTAGAATACATTACAGTGACCCTTTAGGATGGCATAAGAAATGGAAAGCTTGTTTGTGATGAACACACACTGTGCTCTTTTTTATGGGATGTCAGGATGGGATGGATATGGGGATAGTGAATGCTGGGAACCTGCCGGTCTATGACGACATTGATAAGCAGCTGCTGCTACTGTGTGAAAACCTCATCTGGAACAGAGATGCTGAAGCTACTGAGAAACTACTGGCCTATGCACAGGTACACACAAGTATCAAAACAGCCAAACAGTGCACTGAGCTGCTGTTTCTTTGGTTTGGTTAACAGATGTCTGACTCTTGTTAACAGAACATTGTGAAAGGGGGCAAGAAGATTGTTCAGACAGACGAGTGGAGAGAAGGAAGTGTGGAGGAGAGGTTGGAGTATGCTCTTGTCAAGGTAAAATAATCTGATGATTACAACATTGTTATACTACACATATTACATTAGGCATATGGTTGTGGTACAGGGAACAGAGGAACCTGGCTTTAGTCTTAAATACTGTCTTTCGTTTTCCTCTGTCCATTTACATGTTCAAAACTTAGAGCTACATCTTTGCATTTTGGAGCTAAAACTAGCAAAGGCTGAGCATATTTGCTTGAGAGCTGACTGAAACAAATATTCTTTTGATAAAATAGTTACTTAATAGCATTTGGTGGTCTCTTTTCTAGTTCATATTTTCACATCTACTTTGGCTATTTTCCTGTAGTGATTGTGTTTTGCAGCATCATTTTCTAAATTAAGGTGATTATTACAAGACGATCACACAATTTATACTGCTCTTCAGCTCATCAAGCAACTCAGCAACAAGGAGTAGGTTAACGGAGAATAAAGTTAGTTTCACAGTTTATTTAAACATTTGGAGAACTGCCATGACTAATGGTGCTGAAGGACAGTGGTAGATACAGTAGCACAGGTGTTTACATCATTACAGTTAAACTTTCTTCAAGGTTTCTTTAGAATCTGACTTTTAGAATCTGTTCTCAATGCCCAATCCTAATACTTTATGTGTGTAGCTGCTCAATTTATTTCCTTTATTCCAGCAAGAGATATGGTCTTTTCACATATCCCAGCTTGTTAGGATTCAAAGCCCAGATGAGGTTACGAGTTTTGCTGAAGGTGATTCAGCCCAAGTCCTGCTTATCAAGAAACTGTGGTTGCTACCATTACCACAATGTTGGTGGTTTGAGTACCTTTATTTTACATACGTAAATGTAATAAATAAAATAAAATAAATAAAATATTGCATGTAATGGAGAAATGCATTTCAGTCAGCAACACAAATTTAACTTCAATGTATTGTATCAAAGTTCGAAAAAGATTTCAAAAACATTTAAACTCCAAAACATCAGTCGCCTTAGTCATTAGTTGAATTAAATCAAAGATTTTCTCTGTTGAAGTACACTGAGACAAAGGGTATTCATAGTGAGCTGATCTGGCCTTAGTCTGCCACCTTAACCTGCTGAGACGTGTTGAACTGTGCATTTATAGCATTATCCAGCACACCAGACTTGGTTATATCCCAGGAACGATGACTTCAGAATGATTTGTTTGTTTTCTCGTAGACCAGTTCAAACAGATTTTATTTGGGATTTTTTGTGTTCCCATACAGACTAAATTTAGTATCTATGTTGTAAAATATTAAAAACGAACATCAACGGCTCTATATGGGTTCTTGTCGTCCTATTTAACGTTCCCTCATGTGTTCTTGCTGTCAGGGAATAGACAAGTACGTGGTGGAGGATGTGGAGGAGTGTCGGGCTCAGACTGACCGCTACACTCGGCCTCTTCACATCATCGAGGGGCCCCTGATGAACGGCATGAAGATTGTTGGAGATTTGTTTGGAGCTGGAAAGATGTTCCTGCCACAGGTATGACGACAGCAAAGTTTAGATTTTTTTATTTATTTTTTGCTCAGTATGGCCTGGATGTTGGTTTATGTAAAATCTGATAGTACACAAGCGGACCTGTCACCAGGTGCTGTACTATGAAGCAAGTTTAACATAGCCAGACCTTTTTTGTGTTTTTTGGCTCAGCATAACTAAATCCCCAGTCAGAGGTAACTGGTATCACAATGGTGGTTATCAGATTTCTTTGTTAACTCAGGCTTTCTGCTTCAAACTCTGTCCTTGTTCACATGAAAGGGAGCATTGAATGTGTCATGTGACTCTTCTTCTGCACAGACTGTAACAATTGTATGTCACCCACTTTAGTAAACAGATTATTTGAATGGAGAGCAATGAGGAATATAAAATTTATGGTAATATGGAATATAAAGTAACATTTCTGACAGTGAAAAGTGTTACTCCTGCAAATGATGCTGTTACAACCCAGCTCAAGGAAAGGGAAAAGGAAAGTAACAGAACCAGATGTAATTGGTTTTAAAAGTAACAATTATTTATTTACAGGAGTTGAGTAGCACAAAAAACTGAGGAAACAGGGCATAAAGGTGCTCTTTAACTTCAACACCCAAACAAAGCTCCTATAACTAAAAGCCTGCTGCCAAACAAAACAAAACAAAGAAAAAACAACTGAATAACAAAAAGGGTTCAAAATCAAAGCATACCAAATCAGCACCTACTTTACTGGAAAATAAAACAATCCCTACTGAGCCCTGTTCCAGAACAGTTTTAGGAAAAAAGTGCCTTTACATAACAAAAAAGTTCTCCTGTGAAATCAGGCACTGGTGCGCTGCATACAGCCACCCCGTCAATTGGACTCCTCCTCTTAAATAGGCCGCTGTCATCAGTTGGCTTGTCTTGATTGGCGTGATTGGCCTGAATCCGCCCATGTGCCCTGGCCCAATCCACAACCGGCAACGGCACACTGTAATTTCCATTTAAAAAAAAAAAAAAAAAGACACAACAAAGAAGGAAGGGCAGCCGTAACAGATGCAAGACAGGAATGCTGGCGAAAGCTATTAATCATGTGATTTGTATTTTTTTACTGATCAGTGCAGCCACATACTTCTGACAGTTATTTAAGTATGATATTGTATTGAGTGCATTTAGGTTGACACTGTCCCATGATGCTGGATAGGAAGGAATGTGGACCTTGAACAAAATCATTAATCATTTGTCATTTTTTATTGGTTTATCCAGCCATCATTTTCCTGCTGCTTATCCAGTCTAGGTCACGTTTAATGATTAATTAACTATACTGTTAGAGTATAGATAAAAATGTGATTTCAGTGTTAAAAATAATTGCACTTAAATAATCACCTCTCCTATATGTTTTCATTTTTCTTTTTCATACTTGATAGTGAAACTGGTCTTACATTTAATTCTGTGCTGTATCAAAAATGTCTTAATTCAGTGAACCTTGCGCCGCCACAGTAAAGGCTCTCATAATGAAATATTAATTTTACAAGAGAGATTTGATGTTCTCTGCCATTACAGGGAAGAATAAATGCTTGTAAGGGTACCTGCATTCAACCAAAATGTGTTGGAAAATGTCTTAATATTTGATGGCAACAATCCAAGATAGGGCATCACTATTTTAAAGTTTTTGAAAGAGGCTGTGAATACTGAACATTTGATCATTTTCGTCATTTATCAATAACCTACAGCGAACTTTACATTACTTATATCAGGTGTCCCAGATTGTTTCTATGCTTCTCCCTGTTAATATGTCTGTTCTGTTTGCATGTAGAGATGTCAGTCATCAGCCCTTGTGCGTTTGCAGGTGATCAAGTCTGCTCGTGTTATGAAGAAGGCAGTGGGTTATTTGATTCCTTTCATGGAGGAAGAGAGGAAGGAGAAGATGGCTTTATCATCAACAGCTGAGGACATGGTCAGTCTCAGCTAAATATGTATGCATTTGATTTTAAAGTAACTTATTTTGGCCAATGTGTTCTCATAGTTGTTACAAATTCTTTTCACAGGAGATCTATGTGTGAACAATGTGTACAGAACTTCTCGTAGGTTACAATTTGTTAAAAAAGTAAAAAGATAACACTGGAGAAAATTGGCTAAACTCAGAAATTCAAAAGTTTAAGATACATCCTCAAGATACACAAAAACAAAAAGTCAAAGACAAGATAGTTTTGACAGATGGGGTCCTTAGACTGCAACCACAGGGTCTCACCTGTAGCAGATGTCTTAGGAACTGTGTGGGAAACCGAAGCTATTGACTGAAATGTGCCCTGTCGCAAAGAGGGCAACATTAAAACAGACTCTGACTCAGGCCTGTCCTGTGAGCCTCCACCTCCTCTGATGGTTTCTCTTTTGTCTGCAGGATCCCTATCAGGGAACCATAGTTCTGGCTACAGTGAAGGGAGATGTTCATGACATTGGCAAGAACATTGTAGGTGTGGTGCTGGGTTGCAACAACTTCAGGTAAAACTGGTTTTCTAATTTGCTTCTCTTGTAGTTTATCATTCGATATTCTCTCCTGAGCATTCTGCAGTTCCTTCCAATTTAGCCTTTCTTTGATCAATTAAGAGGAACACACACAGAACATCATACAAAAGTTTCACTAATAAATACGTCATGTCCCATTACATGCAGTGTTTACACTTGCTTCTTACTGTGATAAATGAGGCCACCTGATACAAAATTTAAGGAGTCTGCCTTAACCATGAAAGAACCATGAGTCAGCCACCTTGAACACGACGGCAGGGTGAGGCTGCAGTTACGTCCTGACATGCCCTTGGGAGAACGGAATGCATGAATGATGCATTAAGAGCGACCCACTTGGCAGATGGCAAAGCCACCAGCAACACTGTCTTCAGAGAAGGAGGTTTAAAGCTGACGTCCTCCACTAAGAGCTTCGGGTAATTTATGTGAGACTGCTGGAGATCTCTGCCTCAGATGCTCCTCACAGACTAGCCCTTCACAATTTCACCCCACCCCGACAGCCTTCCAGTCTGTGGTGACCACTCTCTGGGACAGAGTGGAGCCCATTGGCACCCCATGCACCAGTAAAACTGGATGTTACCATCCACAATATGTTCCACAGTGACCGTCACTCTCTGTGCACCATGACCCACAGGTCCAGCCTGAGGCAGGCCTTCCACGGCTAAGAAACTCTCATGTACAGGCAACCAAGCAGCACTACCAAAAGGACTGAAGCCATCAGCACTAGTAGTTGGAGGCATAATCTGAAAGGGACGTTTTTCATGTCGACAGATGTAAACTAGTCACCTTTACGTACCAGGTGCAGTAGAGATGTTGGCATAAGCATCCACAATTGTTATTTTCTGAGGCGTTTGTTCAGAGGCCAAAGATCCAGGATAGGATGAATTCCCCAACCGCAACAATCTGCAGACTCTGGCTTGGACTGCACAGCGCTGTGCACAGTCCATTATTTTGGGTGTAGCTGTACATCAGCTTCTGTGTGGATAGCCATGAGTGGCATAGTTTAACTACAGTGAGCTTCCTCAAAATGTTGTTAACACTGTTCAGAGTGCGAGGACATCAATCACTAAATCCCTTTATGACTGTAAAATTAGGTTGTTTGAGGAATGGTGTCAAAAGGAGGGACGTGTGTCCTCTCAACGTCTGGTTGGTCTGATTTTGTTATTCTTGCAGGAATAGATTAACAAACAAGAGGTCTTCCACATAATTAAGGTGTAGCTGGCTATTGCTACTGCTGCTGTTGTCTACCAACCGAAGGTGCTTGGCTGATTCTTTGTCATTCTCTCCACTGCTTTTTTTGCTAAACTGAAGAACAACATGCTGTCCAATCTGTGCCTGCTATGTTTATATAGACAAGGGTAAGGGGCTTTGTGGAGTTAACTCTTCCTGGCCCCCATATGGGTAAGCATGTTACATAGCATTAGCTGTCTCACTGGATTGTGGGGGCAGTTCCTCCGACCAGCATGACTCAGGATCTGCACACTCTGGTGGACCTGCAGGCTCATTCCACTTTGCCCTGGCTTGGTCCTGCGCCCTGTTCAAAGGGGACTTCTATCCAGCACCTCTTGCCTTTGTCTGGTTTTATAAACCGGACGTCTCTGCTCCAAGCGTTGCTCCTGTAGTGTTGCGATCTGGGCTGTTTTTTTGGACCTGTTCAGTAGTTGCTTGAGATTGGTGTGTCTGACAAAATGGGACTCCCCATATCCCATAGTGAGACACTGAAACAAGCTCTGTGAATTAGAACTACGGTCTGGCGTAACATACATTGTAACTTGGGTGTATGGTTCTTTCTGTATTCTGTTCTGTATAGTGTTTGTATGTGTATTATATATTACTGTAACAGCTATTAATTAAAAATAAATACGTAGGTGTGTCAAAGAAGTGCAGAGAGGAACATTTCTGTGACTACTGTTTAGTTAAACGTGCGATGTTTGCTTTGCTCTTTTGCAGAGTGATTGACCTGGGCGTGATGGTTCCCTGTGATCGGATTCTCAGAGAGGCAGTCACACAGAAAGCAGGTATCACGCATGATGTAAAGTTAGTATTACAAATCGTCAGCAGGAGGTGCTATTGTGAAGAATTTAAATTACCCAAAGTAGACATTGTTGATTTCATAACTACCATATGTGGCACGTTTTTCTTGAACTATTTTGCATGGTAATAGTAGGTCAGTATGCTGCTGTATTACTGTATCTGGTTTAAAATAAGATCACAATAATAGTAATAATAAATAACAAATATTCTAACACATATACAGCACATACACATCAGAGTGTCATTTTCTCTGTTGAAATCAAGGGGACACACACACACTTAATGTTCTAAAATCTAACTTTTGTCAGTTTTTTGTTTAACTTCTAAAATCCAAGTGGGAGTAGTTTTTAATTCATTAAAATGTTAAAATGTTAATCGAAGTACCCTTCACTCATTACCCTTTCAAGCAGTAGCAAGTAATTGCTGTGAATCAATAGTGTAATAACTGATTCTGGTCTGGATGACAATTGCTCAGTTAAACTAAACGAGCTCCTAGTTTAGGGCATGATGCAAGAATCTTTGAGCTTTTTTAGCTTTCCTTTGCATTGTGTAGCGTAGGCCTGCAAAATGTTTAGGTTATTATCATAAGTCAAGCTTAACACTGATAATCATTCAAAGACAATACAGTGAAAGACAAAGCGGACTTTATTTCAAAAAGCTAAACTGTAAATAAAGGTAAATAAGGTTTCATATATTCTAGATTCATGACATGTAAATAGTTTTAAGCCTTTTTTTGGTTTAATTTTAATGATAATGACTGAAAATCAGAAATCCAGTTTCTCAGATCATTACAACATGTGCTAAGATCAATCAAGTTCCCTCCTTGTGAATAGCTCCAAAGTTCTTTTTTTTTTGACAATCTTCTTCATTGAAGGAAAATATTAAACTTTTTCACAATGTTGTAATTTTTTGAGCTGCACTAGTTCATATTGACTTTTTACTGTAATGGGTAACAGTGGAAATTGTAGTTACATTTCCATTTTCATATAGCACAATACCAATATGATTATTAGGTCAGTGCATTATAATGCAGCAATTTATGTGTTTTTACTGTGTGTGCTAAATCGCTCATTTATGATTTTCAAGTTTAAATTAATTTATATAAAACAGAAAAGTTGACACACGGCTCTGCTTCCTCAGTATTTTATTCATTATTATTGTGCAAATTTGTGATCAATAGGATTCTCTTCACACATGGAATTATTAAATTGAAGAAGACCCTATTGATTGCAACAGCAATTATGAAAAAACTGGTGTGGAGCACAGCACTGTGTAACTTGGCCTTTTTTTTCTTTTTTACTCCAGCAAAAAAAAAAAAGTCATCTTGGATATAAATACTCATTATTGATATTAGGAAAATAACATTGAAACCTGTATATGTTTTTTGTTGACATTGTATCCCCCTCTTCTGAAACTAAACTTGTATCCTTCAATACATTTAAGTTTGTAATTTCAATGTGGGCACTGATGGAAATTGTTGTGAATTCAAAAGTCTTCAATAAATTTCATTGTTTTCTAACAGCATTTGATTTTTGCATTTTCCCTTCAGATATTATCGGTTTATCTGGTCTCATCACCCCCTCTCTAGATGAGATGATCCATGTGGCCAAAGAGATGGAGAGACTGGGAATGACAACACCACTGCTGATTGGAGGAGCCACCACATCAAAGTAATACACACACACACACACACACACACAAAAACACAACACAAGACATTGCTTGTTTGGGTAATTGTTGTGTTTTCTGTTTGACAGGACGCACACAGCAGTGAAGATTGCGCCTCGCTACAGTTCTCCTGCTATCCATGTTCTGGACGCCTCCAGGAGTGTAGTGGTGGTGAGAACATCTGATGTCATTTGCAACTTTTCAAGGATCTGGAACAGTAGAAGACAAATAGCAGTCTGTGGGCCAAATGCAGCAATGCAACAAAGATCTTTAGTCATCCAACCAAAGCTGAAATCTTTCCTTCTGTTAAATTTGTACACAGTTTTTTTACACATTCTACCGTAGCTTTGTTAAGACGCACCCATGGCAGTGATGGAGACAACCGTAGTACACACACAGTATTGGGCAATACATAAAGGTTAAAAGAACTATTGATATAGCCAAGACTAAACCTAAACGACCAGCAATTTTATCAAAATGGAGATTGTGTCAGAATCTCATAGCAAATAATTCTATGCACTTTACTTCAAACAGCATAAAGGAACACTCTGACATACCATATGTTGGCAAACATTATTTAAGATTTGGACAGCAGAACGAAGACAGATAGTTTCATGATCAACAGAGACGATAGAGTTTCATTGAACAAAAAAATAAAGTGCACAGAATGTAAACAATTTGACATTGGAAGTGTTAGAATTACTGAATGATAGAAATACAGTAGAAATACTGCTGGCTTACTGGCCTTCTGTGAGAAGTCAGAAAGTAATCAAGAACAACATTCAACCACAAAAACAAAATTTTCTGTTCAAGAATGCAAGTAAAAAACTCTAATTTCACATCGTCATCAAGAGATAATAATGTTCTTTTTTTATTTTTTTTTTCTGTTTTTTTGTAAAACACTAAATTAGAAAATTCATGGAAAACAATAATAATTATATTTTAGTATTAAAAATATCATTTTGGTTAAAGAGCTTCTACATACTGGTGTATTAACTATTACAGAAACATAGAAAATGATTTTTCGTTACTACCAGTGCTGTTAATTTAAGGCAGCTGTTTCATACATGTGTTAAGCACTGTATATATAACCTTAATGTTTAATCTTCATTTAAATCCATCACTTCATGAGATAAAACAATGTAGGTTCAAAAGTGATTTCCTTCCCTTTAAAAGACTCCTGGCTCTGTAGCAGAAATGGTCTCCTTTGCTACTGTCAGATGACACCACATTTTCAGTGAAATCCAACTAAAACATGTGGGGAGTGGAAAAATAACCCACTTTAATATAATGATTAGAAAGTTAATATCATTTGAACTGGTCACAGAAAGCAGAAAGCTGAAAGCTTTGAGGAGTCCAAACTGTAGCACATTTTCTGTTTTCCTGTCTTGTCAGTGCTCACAGCTGCTGGATGAGGCAGTGAAGGAGGAGTACTTTGACGACCTGAAAGAGGAGTATGAGGATATCAGGCAGGAGCACTACGACTCCCTGAAGGTAAGGGTGGCCGTATAAACACCCAGCAGAGCTGCAGAGTAAGCACTGCAGGATGTTTTACACTTTGTTTGAAAGGGTTTCCCTGGATCTGGTGACCCATATTGACAACCTTTTTTGAAACTAGTATTGTATTCACCTTCATCACATTCACACACAAGGTGTGATATTCAGCAGCCTCCAGACAACTTAAAGTGCACCTGAGCCCATGCACACAGCTGCAAGAAGTCATGCAAAAATTGCTAATGTCTCTCCTGCAATTTCAAACGGACTCATCTGTGGCAGTTCATCTGTTTTTTGAATTCGATTGCCTTTTGTATGCTGCATGAACACTGGACTGCTGGAAGCAGCAGCTTGATAAAAGGTGATAGAAGCTTGTAGCACAGCAGCAGACATTGAAAGGCAGACCCACTGCAGGTATTGGCCACACATGTCACACGGCTTTTACCTTCCCTTCTACAATCCAGGTGTTACTGTTTTCAAAACCCCCTTTGGTCAGGGAAACAAAAACAACAACCTCTCAGCAGTGTCTACACACTGAAAACTGCAAATATTTCTAAAGTTTCGGAAGTAAATAGTTCTGTTTTTTGCCACTTTAACAATTCCTCTGTCACTATTTTAAATGAACACCATCAGTACATCCTTTGCTGAGCCCCGTCTAGGACGCCTGTGATTGGTTTAAGGAACTCGACACCCAAAACGTCCGCTGAGGAAGAATATACTTTTACCTGTTTTAAGCACAAACCTGATTTTATTCTAAGCATGAACACAGCCTTCCCCATCATTCTCACTGGTGGGGTTTGACCAGTGAGTTTTATTTAGGGGCAGACACAGATACCAATTATTAGTTATTCCAGCAGATCTAAATGATTGAATTGTACCCAACAGTTATCAGGCTACTTGAACAATGCAGCTTTTGTGTATGATGGCTAGTAGTGGCTAGGATTCCCTGCTAACAAGGATGAAGAGGAGCAGAATGTGAAGGTGAAGTTCAGAAATTCAATAATGGCCTCTATCTGATGGCATGTGTTGAGTTCTGATAGAACATGTTCGATCACCCATCCCAGCTCCCACTGCTACGAGCAGGGAAAGAGCATACAGACCACACATTAAGACCAGCAGAGACAATGAAATGGCTTTTTAAAATGTATTTCTGCAAGTAAATGAAATGTAAATGATAATTCAGGAATGATGGATCTTTTGCATGTAAGTGTGTTGAATTGTCAGTTTCTCTGTTCAGAGCTCATGACATTTACTTGGAAAGGCAAAATACGTTTTATAAGTTGTTAAATGCCGACATGAAGACAACATAGAGGAAAAATAGAGGAAACTGCACATATGACCATATGTTTTCGTGGTCCTGATGAGTTCACGTCATTATTTTCACATGTCAACTGTTAGAGAATTACTGTCTTCTCTGCGTGTTCGTTTCTAAAGATGAGATCGGATTCAATTCGGTCTCAGTCAATCAATTTAATTACACATTGAATATTGCATTACAGAGCTCTGGGTCAAACTCTCCCTTGCATCAGACAAAGCAAGACTACTCCTGTTGCCTCTGACCCTTCTTTTACTACTAAGTCACGTGATGCCTGTTCAGGTCGTAAAACAACTGATTGGGGCCCATCTTCATCACACTGAATAGTTGCATCCTTATATGGACTTCTTTTCCTCCGTCTGTTGCTTGTCCGGTGAAACCATAAAAGAAACAGACCCAAGCAACTTCTTCAAAAGAAGACATTTCATGACTATGTGCATATATGTAACTGCTTTTATATTTTTAAACCTTAAGGACTATACTTCACACATGATATATCTTTATACACAACACAACCTTGGCTTGCCCATTTACACATTCGTCTCTCCTCTGATAATTTTCTCTTCCTCGCTCAATAAAGGAGCTGGTATTAATGTTGTCATTTACTAGGCTATGGGTTTGCACATGTATTTTAATGTAGATCGTAATAAGTTTTACCTCTTAAAAATAGAATTCTTTCCCTGTTTTGGCTTCAGGATCGTCGATATCTCTCTCTCTCCCAAGCCAGAGAGAAGGCTTTACACATAGACTGGCTGTCTCTGTCCAAACCAGGTGAGTAAGCCAATACAAATGAATTTTGAATTATCTGAATTGTACCTAAATATGTCAGGGTGAACTTCTAAAAAAGCACGTGTCCAAAACTACACACACAGACGCTGGAATATTATATACCATCATTTAGAAACGGTGTGCTGTGTTTGCCTTTTTGTTTCAGTGCATCCTCAGTTTCTGGGCACTCGTGTGTTTGAGTACTTTGACCTAAACAGTCTGATGGACTTCATCGACTGGAAGCCTTTTTTTGATGTCTGGCAGCTGAGAGGAAAATACCCAAACAGAGGATACCCCAAGATCTTCAATGACAAGACTGTTGGTATGAGCTTATCATTTTGTAATCTGGATTTTCCACACTGTAAGTCTGCTGCTGTGTTTCTGTTGCATTTTCTGGAGGAGAGGTCCCTTCTGAGGTTTCTTGCGTTTTCTGCCAGTGAAAGGCTTTTTGGAGAGCTTTTTCCTAGAACATCTCAACATGTGTTTGCCCTTCTTGCTTTAATGACAGCAGTGCTGAAGCTGCATAAGCTCCACCAGTTTATTCAGACTTGATAAGCCATGTTATCCCAGTTTGATGTGACAATGTTCCAAAATGCTTCTTGTCATATGAGAAATGTTTGACTTTCTCAGTCTCCAAGTGTCCTATAAACAAATTGGAAGTATAACTGCACAAAATCCATGGTTTGGTATGAAGCCCGGTTTGCAGTCGTGTTCTAGTACCTTTGTTATTATTATTTTTGTCTGTATCATTACATTCCTAGTATGCATCCCTTTACACAGAGATGCACACCAGATGACCGAGCATGTCTGAAGAATAGAGAATTACTTCTACCTGATCAATGTGGATTCGATTGAATACAGGTGTCCAACTCGAGTAACAAACCTTACCAGACAAAATATACAGCTGACCCAGTTTCCTCAAAGTGTTTCAGTGCCGTGCACAGTCCTCCTAGAAACCTTCAGTCCAGCCCTGCTGAAAAAACCCCTCTTTGCTCAGAATACTACATTTCACTATTTCATTTTTTAACCTAATAGATTTAAAATAGTAAATCAGAGTGACTGAGAAAGATGTGTTGTGCTTTTGGCACCCAAACTGAGTATTAAGTGTCTTCGGACGAAAATTGTTGCTGAAATGTGAAAAATTCCTTCTTTTAATCACTTCTCACAGCCCCAAGTACCATTGCTAGTGTGTTCCTATCAATGTATGCAGTGGTTTAGCTCAGAGTTGTGCTGTGTTAAGAATGATAGAGATTTTACTATGTCCAACCTGGTATCCCAACATGACTTGTGACACTTTAGCTCTCATTTTGTGTTTTCTGCTTGAAACTTTAGTAACAGCCTAATTTATAACAGCTGAACAATCCCAGTTGATTAAGTTGAACATTTGTGTGATGAATAGAAGTATAGAAACATAACGAAATTTGACCTTTTGTACGAAGGACTTAACATGGCCGCTTGTAGCCGCGATCTCATTCTTTCGGTCACGACCCAAAGCTCGTGACCATAGGTGAGGGTTGGGACGTAGATGGACTGGCGGATACAAGCGGCCGAAATGAGCTTCCTCCACAGGGTGGCTGGGCTCAGCCTTAGAGATAGGGTGAGGAGCTCAAACATCCGGAGGGAGCTCGGAGTAGAGCCGCTGCTCCTTTGCGTCGAAAGGAGCCAGTTGAAGTGATATGAACATCTGGTTCAGATGCCTCCAGGGAGGCTTCCTCTGGAGGTTTTCTGAACACGTCTACCTGGGAGGAGACCCCAGGGCAGACCCAGAAGACAATGGATGGATGGATGGATGGATGGATGGATGGATGGACTTAACATGGTCACTGATCTGGTCTGCTTTAGGTTGATTGTTGAACTGAAAAAAGGTCAAAATTAGAAATATTTCTTCTCCATTTTACATGCAAGAAATTCTTGTATTTCTAAATCCTTAAACTTTCTAGCGATCTATAGGTTCACATGCCTCTGTGACAGATTTGTTTATGTATTCGCTTTTGAATTAAAATTATGCATAACTTAGCTTCTTATGGAGAAACTAAATCAGACCCTAATTATTATTCAAAGAAGAGTATCTTTTATGCGTCTACATCCATGCCTGGATGGGGTCTTCAATGTAGAGTTGAAGGTAATAGGAAAATTGAGTATATGCTGTCAATAAGTGCATATTGCATGTTTTGTGGATTGAACTCATCACTGACCTTGTCCCGCAGGGTCCGAGGCTCGCCGAGTCTTTGATGATGCCCAGCGCCTGCTCAACCAGATTTTTGACGATTGCAGTCTGAAGGGGAGGGGCCTGGTGGGCTTCTGGCGTGCTCAGAGTAGTGGTGATGACATTAATGTCTACAAAGATGATGTGACGGTGTGCAGAGACACCAAGCCCATTGCCACATTCTGTGGCTTACGGCAACAGGTAAGGCTTTCTGCTCAAAGACGTACACAGCTTCGTCTCACAACAGCTGGTTAAGCTGGTCCTCTTCAACTTCCTCTAAACTAAAGCACTCAGTTGAATTTTTTTTTCATACTTGTTAATGATTCCTTAAGTTTATCCTGAAAATAACCAAAGAACTTTTATGTATGTAGTAAAATCGCAAATTTGATTAGTGATTTTCAAGATGGAGCCAGAAATGGATGGTAATACGTTTCCAAAGTAACCGTAACAATGTTGTGTGTGTGTGTGTGTTCTGCAGGCAGAGAAGGACAGCCACAGCTCAGAGCCTTACCTGTGTGTGTCTGACTTCATTGCCCCTGTGGACAGTGGTGTGGCAGACTACATTGGTGTCTTTGCTGTCGGTGTGTTTGGAGCTGAGGAGCTAAGTCAACAGTTCCAGGCTCAGGGAGACGACTACAACAGCATCATGGTCAAAGCTCTGGCTGACCGACTGGCTGAGGTACTGTCTGCCTTAACAGAAAATGTACATGGTCCTGAAAAACTGCGTTAGACTCTCTTGCAACAACTAGCAATAATAATAAGGGTTATATTGAGCAGCATGTTAGCAGCTCCAGGACTCTGTCTGTGTCTGCATAGGAGTTGGTCAGGTATTGGGATAGAAGCGTTCAGAGCCCAACACACAATCAGTGTCGTTATGTATATAAAACAGGCTGCATTTACAAGCATATAGCGTGGATAAAACAAGAGCTATTACACAGGCTGCTTAGGCAGCTGGATGGATGCAAATAGGGTGCATTTAATTCAATCAATCACTTGTCATACACAAGTGAGATCACTCAAAAAAACGACCAAATGCGTCCTGTATAGACACAGCCAAAAATGGACTGGTAGGGGTGGGAGTTCTTACACTGGTCTTGGTTATTCTTTGAAACTCCGAGTGCCACACAAATTTGTGAAGGTTTGCATGCAGGTTTAGTAGCAATAGTTGACAGCATACCATTGCTGGATTTAAAAAAAAAAAAAAAGAGTTGGACAAAACTACTATTGAAATATTACTGAACAACCAAAATATGGAAATGAACTGAATTTTAAAATGCGATTTTAAAGTAGTTGTGGGTTTACTTTTATATAGGCAAATAATGTAAATCTAAATAAATAATGTAACAATGCAATGCAAGATTACTACTTTCCCAGTGTTAGTAATGGAGTGATGATTTATAATTGATGTTTATCCCTCCTCTTTGCTATGTTTAATGTTATCTGAATAATTTGTGCTTTTTTTGGCATTTCTTCATTTCAATTGCAGCATATTCAGTATTTGCAACCTGTGAGTGTAGGTCTTTTTGAGAATGTGGTTGGCCCTGGGCAGGTTTTTTAGCATTCATATCCTTGGATTTTGCAAATCATTTTTTGGGATAAGTTTATGATTCATATTTTCTGTGTTAATCAAAATAGTCATTCTCTTTGTAAATAATGGCTTCCTATGGTATGTTCAGTATGTTCACTGGTTGCTTGATGAAGGTCTAGCACTGAAAGGTCAATCATAGATATATTCTTACATTCTGGTAAGTTAGACAGTGTGTGGGAGTCTGTTTGAAACTCTAAATGGGACCATAATTTACAAAATGAACATCAAGCTGTATTCAGTCATAAGACTTGTAATTGAGATCATACATTTATTAGGAAAATATTCACTAAGGTAACAGAGTAAGTGAGAAGAAGGGTGATTTTCTTATAGGCTTCCATACATCAGACTTCTTTCTGCAGCTGGAGGAGTCGCCCCCTGCTGGCTGTTAAAAAGAATGCAGGTTTAAGTCGCTTCTACATCGGCTTTACTGTTCAGACGTCCATCTGTTATTTACGGTCTGTGCTGTAACACATCAGGCCTCCATCACTGCTGTGATTGCAAGGCCAGAACCCGTGTAACCATTTCCTGCAACCTCCTGTCCATTCACTAGGCATTTGCTGAGGAGCTCCATGCTCGTGTGCGCAAGGAGCTGTGGGGTTACAGCGCTGATGAGGCCCTGCATGCCTCAGACCTTCATAGAGTTCGATACCAGGGCATCAGACCTGCAGCCGGCTACCCCAGCCAACCTGATCACACAGAGAAGACCACCATGTGGAACCTGGCTGGTGTACAGGAAAAGATTGGTGAGCGTGCTGACACCACTTTCTGTCCCCACTGCCTGACAGGGTACCATTGTAGCTTAAGCAGTAGAGAGTTGATACTTACATCGTAGGTTCTACATATGGCAGAGATCAAGTGGGATTTAGTTTTCCTTTCTGTGTACATGTATGTTAACTGCGTGCGGTGTCTTCACTGTGTGTAGGTATTTGCCTGACAGAGTCTCTGGCCATGACTCCTGCTGCTTCGGTGTCTGGACTTTACTTCTCCAACCCTCAGGCCTCATACTTCGCAGTGGGAAAGATCACCAAGGAGCAGGTTAAACTCATCATCCACATCTTAAACTGCCATCAGTACTTAGGGACAGTGTTTGTTTTGACAGCAGTTTTATAGAATGAAATGACAAAGACTTCTTTTTCAGTCTCTGGTGGAACAAGGTATGCTGGCTGTGTGCTGAATAAATATAATTTCAGTGACTCAGGTCCTTAAAGCTATACAGTCATGTGGGCTGAACAATAGGTACAGCACCAACAATCCATTCGCCTTTAGTTGAACAACTCTACACATGAGTGAATGTATCTAACCGTAAAACTAACTCTAAAAAACATATCAGTAAACCATGCTGTGGCATTGGCTGACATGTTCATTACAAAGAATTTAAGGGCTGACTAAATATAACCAGTGGTCACTTTCACCATCTCTGGAGAGTTGATGCCGTGGGTAAAAAAAAAAAAAAAGAAGGCTTTTGTGTAATCTGATATTTGCAGTGGATTTGGAGCTCAACATTATTAGCAGAAAATGTAAACCAGTAAGAATCCAGACTTTTGATACCCCTTTTACATAACCAGCAATAGTGTTGTGAAGTTAAAGACGAACAGAAAGTTGGACAAACATAAATTAGAGGTGGGACGCCTAACGGTCTATAGTAACTAACTTATCCGACTGGGACTCAAGACACAAACCAAGCTGAACTTGTATCCTCTGTGCTCATCATGTCTGCAGGTGGAGGACTACGCCAGGAGGAAAGAGACAAGTGTGGAGGAGGTGGAGAAATGGCTGGCGCCCATCCTGGGTTATGACAGTGAGCCATAGACGGATCAGAGCAGAGAGTCAGGTTTACATCAGAACCATTCCACTGTGGCTCACATACGTTGTCACTGTGGGTACTGACACAGGGACCACTGACATTCCAGAGAATATTATTTACTCTGATACAAACGCTCAGCATTTTACTCAATCACTATGTTTCTACAAATACACTGTTGAATGACAACATGACATCTTCATTGAGTTTCATGATTATCAACAGTGTAATTCTGTCAGCTTTAGATACGGAGAGAAATTGTCTGTAGCCAGTCATGTGGTGTCACATCACATTCTTTTGTGTCTTACTAGAATTTTACTTAGTGTTAAGATCCCTGTGTTGGATCAATTGTGAAATCAATATCAGTGCCTATATAATTGCTGACTTTTGTAACTACACACTACTACACTTGTAGTACAACATTTTAAACGTTTCCTATTTGGGTCATTCCCTCTTAAAGCAACAGATTTTTAGAACTATTTTTGCTCCTCCACCTCGGTTTGGGAGAATGTATTTTTTAAACATAAATTAAATATTTTTAAAGATATTTGTGAAATTTAGGCTTGATATAGCAAATGCTTTGCGAGACGATTTTTAAATGTATTTCAAAACTGCCTGCTGACCCACTTTTGACACTTTTTTTTTTTTGCGCATTTAAATTTGAGGCGATATTTTAACCCCGATATCTCATGAACTATTTGAGACACCAACTCTTCATATGGATCAGAGGGAATGTAAAGCATAAAGCAAAGGAACGCAAAACATATTGCAAATAACGTGAATAAGATCATTCTTGCTTTGACCATTTTGGGGTTCTGTAGAAAAGGCCACGTATATGAAAAAGAAGCTTTAAGATAAGTCAATAATCGTATTTGTTTCAACTGATATTTTTGACATGATTTAATAATAGTTTTCAGTCATTCTAGAAACTGTTGAAGTATAGCTCAGGCCTTCAGATATCTGAAGCTACAACAAATAATATAACTTCATCCTTACATTTCTCATTTCACGTGGATGCAGTACTAAAAGTACTAAAACCTGCTATTGATAGTCTGAGCGATAGTCTAGTCTGTATGAACAGTTTGTCTTCCAAACATGATTTCACTCTACTCAGCAGCCAGTAAATTCTAGTAAAACTTCATCCATCCATCATCTACACACCGCTTAATCCTCATTAGGGTCGTGGGAGGGCTGGAGCCTATCCCAGCTGACACCGTGGACAGGCAACCAGTCTATCACAGGGCAACCAAGCACACTCGCATTCATACCTATGGACAATTTAGAATCTAACCTCCCCATATCTTTGGACTGAACCCACACTGCACAGGGAGAACATGGAAACTCCACACAGAAAGATCCTGGGCGTCCTAACTGGAGCCGTGAACCAGGGATCCTCTCGCTGTGAGGCGTCTGTGCTAACAACCCGCCAACGTGCAGCCCAAGTAAAACTATAGATGAATACAAATGTTTAATTCTTGTTCAATTGAAAAACTGTTTGAATTCAGTATTCAAATGTTTGTACTGCATTTTTCAAAAGTTTCTGTTCAGGAGTACAGAACTAGAACCAATCCAACTTGAAAAAGAACTGTGGAGAAATGTTAAAGGCAGCTTTGGTACTGGACCATCATGTAAAGCTGTTGCCTAAACAATGGTGAACATAACCTGATCCTGACTTGATAAAAACCGAAAAGCTTTTTTAGTTTAATTGTAGAAATTACAATGATACACAGTGGCAAGTTTGATTGTATAGATTTTAAGTTCTTAAGGTCCAGTCTTCAGATGTTAATGTTGGATAGCTGGTTTACGGCTTTGCACCTTACCTGTTTTTTCAATTCACGTAGTGCCCTGCTCACTAGTTAAAAGCCAGCTGTTGACAGCGAGGTACAACTATTAGAATTGTGTACTGTGTATTCCCAGTGATGTACGTGTGTCGTATACAAGATCCTGAAACATCTCCAGATGAGACAAATGAAAAGATTTTTTGTGTGCAAGATGGCTGCCGAAGTGCTCCTGTCTTATAAGCCCTGATGCTGCAGAAACTGAGCTCACTTTGTATGGAACTTGATACTTGAATACTTCTTACTTTCTTTTAAGAAAATGAAGATTACTGATGGTGATATTGCTGACCCTGCAAAACACAAGTGTTCAGATGTACTGCTCTGTGTTTTTTTTCTGACCTTAAAGTTTTTCTTCAGTCATAAATTAAACTCTTTAAAAAATCACCTCTGTGTACTAGTTACATTTTAAGATTTTTTTTTTTCCATGAAGATAATCCTTTTCAGCTTTAAAATGGTTTAGATGCAACTCCGCACTGCTGATTCGTTTAGAATATGCAGATCTCTGAAGTACCCACCACTTATCTCCACACTCCACTCTGCATTCGCTGCAGCTTGAGCACACCAGCTCACCATTGAATCTGCTCAAGCACATTAAAAAATCTTTTTCAATGGTAATTCAATTCAATTCTGAAGGACAATAATGATGCAGGACGCCCCACCCTGCCAGTTGACAGATTGGTTTCTGAGGTTTGCCACATGTGAAACCCTGGAAGTCTGAATCTGGGTGCTGAAGCCCAGATGGACATGTTAACTGTACTTTTAGTAGTAGAATTCTTTCACACCCAGCTCAAGACTGAAGGTGACTGGGCGGGCTGAGTCAGGACAGTGTGGGTGCAAATATGGTACACGAGTAAGTGGAGTATGTTCCACAAAGAGCTGCCTGCTGTGAAGTTGGAGTACCAATAGAGGGCCACAAATGAGTGCATCAACACTTTCATGTTCAGTGATTTGATCAGTTTCAGTCACTTGAGATGCAACAAATGCATCAATTAAGGGAGTGACATGAAAGTAGATACGTCAAACTTTAGTGTCCTAAAATGGCGCTTCAGGAAAACCCCTCTAACCACTGAGGGACAACCCAAGACCACAACAGATCACGACAACTTCACATTTTGCTGAAGATTAAGTGTGTTTGCATTAAGAAAAACACTTTTCAGCTGCGATTTTGGTATTTTTTGTTGGAGCTTGAGTTGCTGAACACAAGAATGTATAACATTGTTCCATAATTGAAACATGAAGGAAGATAGAAAAAATTACGAGTTGAAAAATTAGAGGTTAGAGAAAGTCGTCCTACAATTTCTGTTGCAATGAATTTGAGTTTGACAGTTTCTTATCAGTTAGAGTTTGAATCAAAAATACAAAAACTCATTTGAGTTAGATTTTGACCCTTGTGGCTACATTTCTATTCCAATTATGCACTTATAGAGACAAATTTGTGTATTTTAGATAAGCTTAGGTGTTTTTTATGGTCTCTGAAAACCACTGTTTCAGACTCTAGCTGGTCACACTGATAAAACCTCTGTAAAGCTGCAAAAGCCTTCACTTTTAAGGGAAAATATCTCCAAAATTAAACATTTTTAGTCCTACATTACAAGGTCAAAGCCCTGGGAGTATTTAAAGTCTTTAATAGGGTCTGCAGGTGTACGTATGTCAGAACAGTTGAGTGGGTTCAAGAAAAAGTCGGTGTTTTTCCATAGATCCTATTCATAGGAACTATAAATTAAGTCTATAATCGTAATAATTACAAATCCTATGACCTTCTGTGCTGCCTGTAGGCACCAAGGTTCTATCACACTTGGACTTGTTTTGTGGAGCTCATGCAGGTTGTTTTCTCTTGACTGGATCATTGCTTTTTTTTGCTTTTTTCTTGGTTTTGGTTAAAGGGTTTTAATTGAATTTTTCCGTTTTTATTTTAATTGGATTCTTATTTGTTCTTGAAGGGTTTTTTTTTTTTTTTTTTAACATGCTTTACATGTTAGTTTGGAACCATGTTTCAAGCTTGAATGATATTGGAGTTACAGTGTGACGAAGAACATGTGGAAGAGAACTGAATAACTGATCACATCGGTGGTGTGACTTCCCGGTGCGGCCACCAGGAGGCGACACGTGTCCAACGCACCGCCGGGGCGCGCGCACACTCGCCCTCAGTCACACCTGTGCAGCTCCTCCTCTAGCGAGCGCGCCGCCAGCCAATCAGAGAGCAGCTCCTCTCTCCCCCTCACACACACACACATACACACACACATACACACACACACATACACACACACATACACACACACACAGGCAGCCCGTGCTCCATACGCAGACACAGCACGAGCCGCTCCGTGTGAACGCTAACCATGGCTGAAGGAGGAGAAGGCGAGGACGAAATCCAGTTCCTGCGGACAGTAAGCGCTCTTTCTTGTATTTCTGGGTGTTGCGGCGTCTCTCCGCTCGGCTCTGTGTGCGTGTGTGGGCAGGGAGTTTACCGCATTCAGGCTGACAGCTCCTCCACATAACAGTCATTGGTCAGGGAGTCCGCAGGATGCTGACAGAGGACTGGGAGGATGGAAGAGGTGTGAAAAGATGCCGGTAGACAGGAAAGAAGGACGGGAGGAGGAGAGCAGAGGTGGAGGAAGGTGGAGGAAGGTGTGGGATGCGTCCGGTGTCGCTGTCATTGTGTCATAGAGGAGCTGAGCAGCATGCAGACTGCGTGGAGTGGCTTGGTGGTGTGTGTGTTGGGTGGATGCGGGGCGCAGTGCGGTGCAGAGTGGCAGCATGAAGTCTGCTGCATCTGCTCCGCTTCACTTCAGCTCCACCGACGCAGTGTCAGACTGGACTCATCAGCTGCTCCTCCACATCACACGAGCTGTTGCTTTACACAAAGTCAAACGTGAATAATCACGTGAACGCACTGCACCGGAGTGTTTTTTTTTGCTGTTGCCTTTATGGGAGAGAAATGGGCTCAAATGTCTTCAAAAAAAATGTCTCATATAAATGAATATGCATCTAAGTTGTTTTGTCGTTGATGGTGGGAGTCTGATTTGCAGCCTTTTGTGTCAGAGCAGTGCAGTTTGTCTTGTTTATGGGGTTGTTGCTGACAGTATCTTGACATCAAAATAAGGCAGATGACTGCAGTGGTATTAAAATGCAATGGCTTCATTCTAGAAGATGCTTGGAAGAACATGATGCTGTGAGTAGAAAGGTTGGGATTTTATTTACATTTTAATCTTTTTTCCCCCCCATATATTATTATTGAGCTAGATGATGGATCATAAAGTGAGGGGAGTCACTCATAGTCACAAACCCACAGTCAGCTCTGCAGTTCTACAACCATTAGAGCTTCTCTGGGCTCCTTCTCCAGCTCACATCCTGCCTGCTTCGGTTGAGTCGCACAGCTCTCATCATTGCAGCAGCCTGATGAGCTGTGCAAAGCTCTAAAGCTCACTGTACACTACCTGCTCAGCAGCAACCAGCAGACGGACATGGTTGGAGACGAGTTGGCGAGCACAGTGGAGCAGATATCTGCTAAAAAAATAAAAAACCAAGATATTTCCCTCAGAAGAAGAGAGATAAAACAGACTGACACAAACTATAAATCCAAATGAATGATGATATTTTCCAGTCTGTTGGATGTTTAAATAGTAAATGAAATAGTCTGCTAACATATAAGCCATATCAACCTCAACAGGGCTACTATTTTTTCAATTAATCAATTAATTGTTTAGTCTGCGACGCGTCAAAAAATGTCCAAAGAAATTCTTTGCAGAGCTGAAGGCGACTTCTGCAAATGCCTTTTGTCAGCAGATCTGCCATCAATTCATCTTTTACAAGGCTTTTCAGTTTTTGTTGAGATTCCTCTTCATGCATATATTGTGGTGAATGGTGCAGAAATAAACTAGAAAATGTTCCTAATATTTTGTCCAGCGCCAGTAATGTACATTAAGGGAGCCTGAGATCAGTAGCTGAAGGTATCAGGGCATCCTTGCTCGCTGCCTTCAGGACTCAGATAAACATCAGACAACTAAGAAATGTAGATTTTTTTATTATTTATTTTTTTAGACATGACTTTGAGGTGAGCAGAGAGCCGTGGCAGCATGAGCTCCTGGTTACTACACAGAGCAGCTTCCAACAGGCCACCAGTTGCCATCCCAGCATGCGGTCGCCTCTGAGCCATGCCTGCAGCGTGAGGTGCTGCTCTGTTGGCAAAGCCTGTCTTCAGATCTAATTCCTCCACATAGTGACCGAAGGGTGACGATAAATCTGTAGCAGCAGTTATTTATTTTGTGTGAGGTTTATTTCTGGTTTTTGATAGGTAGGTAGTATGTTTTGTCTAATTCTGTGTTTTGATTTTTGTTTGATTGAATACAGGCAGTAGTAGCACAACTTAGAGCTATATGGATTAATGTGCCCGAGAATATTAATGGTATTTATTACCGTCTGAAGTTGTTTTTTTGTTGTGATGAAACTTAGTAGTTTTGTCTAATTTTAACAGAACAAGACGAGCACACAAAGATGTGAAAGAGTTAAACAGCTACTGCTTCACATCTATTACTATTTATAGCTCTGAAAAACTGCTAATTTTTGTGTGTGACTTATTTTCTGGCATTTTGTGGACTACTAGTGGAAACAGTAGTTATCAGTTCAATCAATGATGAAGGCATTTGTTAATTTACAGCCATGAATGCACACATCTACAAACATTTAAAGAAAGAAAAACAAGTAAATAGAACGCATACTATCAGTTTGACGTTGGGACTCTTAGTTATTCAGTAAACATCCACTACTTGTGTCCACAGAGGATACACATATGTATACATAAAACAAAGAACTGTACAGACTAACCCTGAAGACACTATTTAGAATCCATGCCATTGGGTTTTACTGATGCTGTATTTACTAGTCAATCAAAGAGTGAAATTAGAAGAATGAATGTTGTGTAATCTTTTGTGTAACAGCCTATTAACAGGTTTACATTCCCACTGACACTTCAGAGTCACTTAGGAAGGCAATCGACGGAGCCAGCAGCTGTTTCTTGGTGCAGTCCAAAGCATTACGAAAGCATTCAGTAGTGGGTGAAATCAATCGTAATAAATATAAATTCATAACAGTCAATAGCTGCAAATGAGGGGACGCTGAATGTCAACTCAGTTGTTAAAATTGGTAATAATCAGAGGATCTCAATTTACACATTAGTATTAACTGACCAAATGTTCGTAGTTTTAAACCCCACTGTCAGAGTGGTGGCAGCAGTGGTATCAAGATTTCTGTAGAGAACTGGAACTATTAAAATAGGACTCAAGCTAGTTTTATTAAAATTTATTTAAAAGGTTTTAAATATTTACATTCCTTTGATAGGCAAAAAACATAATTTTCATAGTTGTCAGTATCTGTGTTGTAGGTTTAGAGGTTAAAATTTCCTAAAAACAAATTCAGAACCTCCCAAAAAGAGAAAGAATTATGAGTTCTACAAACAGAAATCTGTTCAAGTAAATGATTTATACAAAATTAGCCAAACTTTTCAGTATAAATCTTTTACCGCTGTGGGAAATGCTTTTATTTTAGGACAGTTACATTCAGTCACATCCCTGACGCTTGATCAGCACCATGTTCTATGAAAACGACAGCTTGTACATTCTGTCCATTAATGGAAAGTAATGTTACAGTTGAGGCAGGTGGGTGGAGGTGTTTGTCTGTGTGCCTCAGTTCTTGTTCCAGAAGATGGGTCTAATTCCTGCTGCTGGAGACCGTCCATCGTCACTCTGGTATTGGATGGTGATACTTGAGGTGATAAACGGAGATTGAGGTACTTCTCTTCTCCGTTGGCACAGGTTTTGTCTTAGTAAATATACAGTCTGTCGCTCATCTGTCAGCCGTTAAGTTACTCTCTCCTCCAGTTTGTGGCCACTGCTGATATCTTGTCATCTCAACAATTCATGTCAAATGGTGTTCTAAGGCTATATGGAATGCGTCCTCCTACAGTCTGGTTTGGAGGTCGGAGTGCTTCGTTTTGCTTGTGTTGCGGTGTTTTTATGCAAAACTTCCACTGAATAAATATCTTGCTAGCATGTGCTGTTGCATTTCTCCCTTTGCTTTGTGAGAGTAACACTGATTCAGGTGAAATGATGGATGCGTCCATCTCATAGCATGATAGTGTAGGTAGGTAGAGTAGCAGGGCTGACTGAGGACACTGATGATGAGAGGACCACTGCACAGACACTAAACACTGACATCAAAGAGAGAAGAGACAGGAACACTGTTGTCTAAGGGAAACTGATTCCTCTGAAGAGTTTACTGTTTATAGAAGCAGTAGACAAGAATATCCTTCTTTAACATGCCAGATGATGATGTTGTAAACGGAAGGCTCTTGAAAGTATTTTTGTCGCAATTTAGAAAAAAATATATTGTTTCAGGCTCCTATTCCAATTCATGGTACACCAAACCAGTCTCTCAGGTTCATGTTTCACTGAATTGCAATAATATATAATAACAGGCAGTTAAACAAACTGCTCCTGTTAAAGTCAGAGTTGGCCGGAGTTCTGTAAAGGCTCATTTGTTATTGTTGCAGTTCGCTGCTCCCTTCTGCTAACACAAGTCTCCAGGGAATAGCTTATAGAATATTATTAACAAAAAAAAAACTTTCTTGCAAAGCCAGTTATGAAGTTATTACACTCAAAATCTGCTTTAACATTTGTCTTTAACCACAAGGTAACTCAGGTGTGTGTGCTCTGCACCACACAGGCACTACGCTGCTTCAGCAGTGTTGCCACATCAAAGTGGTAAAAATTAAACCAGCTTAGAGCTCAACAATCATTGCAAAAGTTGGCCCATTTTATTAGGGTCCGAGGACCCCTACTTTTATTATTCCTGTAGTTTTTCTTTCTTTCTTTCTTTCTTTCTTTCTTTCTTTCTTTATTATTATTTGCTTGACGCACGCAAAACCCTTAATTTGACCACCTAAACACGCTCAAAAACTCACCAAAATTGGCACGCACCTCCGAATCAGCGAAAAATTTGATAAAATGAAAAAAACAAAAAAACAAAAATGCTTTCTTGCGCCACCTAGTTACAGAAAAACACACTAAAACGGCCCCAGCGTCCAGTAGGAATGTCGTACAGAGATCAAACCAACACCAAAAGGACACCCCTGACCTATCTCCAACAGGAAGTCGGCAATTTGCCTTTCAAAGTAAGAAAATGAGTGAAAACATCTTTTGGAAAAACATTATCTTGTCTGACACCGTAAATTGTATCAGCTTGAAAATCGCACAGGAGACAGAGAAGGCCTTCATGTACAAAAGTTCTGAAGGGATTTGGTGTTTCTCAAACGGTTTTCGAATGGCGAGCCATTAAATTTGATGAGCTTCCGCAGCCTCGGCTCATACTTTGTATGGCTGTCTATGGGGGC